CTTCAAATGTAGCCGGATTAGTGACAAAATTGCAGGGTATAAATTTAAAGCTGGATGAACAGTTCATGTACACTTTTTCTTGCATATGCAACATAATCTGAAGTGTTAATTGTCTAATAGTTGTATTTTCTCTGATAATTGAACAAAATATTAATTACACCACGTACAGTCAGAGCTCGTTATTAAATGAATTTATCATTTCCAAGAGTATGCTTTAAGAGAAGTATATCTTTACAATATAGTAATACTTCTCAAATAGGACTTTAAGGGAGGAGTGATCATACGGAGAGGTGAATATAGAGGAAATGACTGTATGTTTTAGTTTGAAGTTTTTCACATTAATATTTCATTTTAGCTTCTAAAATCTATGAACTTTTATGTTTTTTAGAGTTGTGATAACGATAAGGAAAGCGTCAAATATCAAGTGATCTTTGGGATTGTTGTCAATCCTCAGGTTCTACAGATTATGATATATTATGACTCATCTTGATCAGGTGTCTAATAAATAAAAATCATTTGATAGGAATTTATATTACATGTACTTTCATTTATCAATATTATACTAGAAATTCAGTTATTTTTTCTTGTGTTAATATTTAATTAATTTATATATACATAGTATAAATATCTATTGTATTGCTTGTTAAAAGAATTATCACTATCTTGATATAATTTATACACCTATTTGTTCGTTATGTAATTAACAATTTGTTGAATACTGATACAGTACATGCAATACGTAAAATCTCTATCTGTTTAAACTAGTTCTATAAAAATATGGCTCTTTTTTCAACATAAAACACACATTCTTTATTTATACACACATATATAGATAGAAGTCATTAAAAGACATTCTGTCTAAGTCATCATTTATTTTATAAAATGAATATTGAAAAAATACTCAATGTACTCGTTTTCAAGCTCACAATTATTGTAATTAATATTATAACATTACTCATTGTAGTTAATGTGCTCATTGTTAAGAAATAAGAGTTGCTTTCTCTCTCTCTCTCTTGAATTTATAAAGTTGAATGGTCTAGCAAAAATAAAGACATGCATGAAATATAATGAATATGCAATATTTTTTGAATGAATCTCTTTTGAAAAATTCACCAATATTTGCAAAAGGAAATTTTGAAACTATTTACAAAGCAATCTGACTGGATGGACCATCATAAGAGTAAAATATATTATTATCATTATCGTTATATTATTTAATGACTTACCGTTTAAAACCACACACACGTAACGCGATATTGAATTTCTAATTGGTTCGCCGCAAGTTACACTAAAAAATTCCTAATGGACATATACCAATACGAAATGTGAATCAATCGTTATTTTTTTCACTCAGATTGATTTTTTCCTAAACGTTTCTATTGGAAACACATTTTGCCAATTAATGATAATAGGGGATGAATGATCATTGTTGCGGTTCAGGTGGTTATTATTACACATGAAGTATGCTGTCTTTCTTTTTTTATCGCAAAAGAAATATGTACATACTATTCTTCTTGAGCAGGACATCGGCTCTAGGGTTTTAACCTTAACGGTTTGTCAATTCGACCTTACAAGCAGAGTATAGTGAGCCTGTTCTAACAATGACGAACAATCATTTTTTCAACCCGAACCGGATATATATGATTTCGAATTTTTTTATAGTATTAGTGTGTAAGGGTCCTTTTTGCGTTGATAGATCAACTATCCAGGTTCCTTGTTACGAGTATACTTTGTTGTAGAAATCGCATAATCATTATATAGTGGCTTAATACTTGGGCTAAGATATATATCCGTGCATTCCATGCATTAGCATAGGACCCAGTTTGTGACGCGAGGACTATGTACATCGAAAAAGAGTGGAAAAGCGTTCTTCTTTGTTCGTAGGATCGTGTAACACTAAAAGGAGTCAAAATTCGGGAAGAATATCTAAGAGAATTGTTAACTGAAACATTAATTTGAGAAACTAGGTTAGCTATAATGAAATATCAGATATCCCTTCTTAGACTAAACCTCTTTCCGAAACACAACATTTCCATATTCTGGTCGTAACAGCATTCAGAGGATTTCTAAATTATTGTTTTTTATAGACAAAAGTCTTAAACTCTTAAAATATTATTGCTTTTCTAAACAAAAACCTTAAACTCTTAAAAATAATAATGAGGATTATTATGATCACACAAAAATGGTTTTTCATTAACAATGCGATTCTACACAAAATCTACACCTTTCTAGCACAAAGGACCTAATCAACAAGCAATACAATATTACAATTAACATAGGGAAGATGGGGGAAGAGTTTTACAAGCAATAATTTGCTTTTAGGAATAGTTATACGCAAAGAATCAAGCTGTATTTTGCTTGGAGAAGAATTGTACACAATTTTATTCTGTTCTTTATTAGTAGCCCGTAGGCTGTTCTTTTATACATTTTTTATATTATGACGCTGCTATTTTGCTGAAAAATCTACAGCAGCGTTGTTGATGACCGGGATGGGAATTTTGCTATAAATTTACCGGTTCTGGAAATCTGAAGCTTTGTTGACAATCGTGATGGGAATTTGCTGCAACAATGCTGAAAAAGTCTACCATGTTTGAAATTTAGCAACATTGTAAGTACGTTTGTCCGGCATTAGCAAGATTTACGGTTCATCTTTTATCATTTTATCCCGAAAAGCTGGAATCAGAGAAATTTGTTCACCGGCGGTAACAGTACCCCATTCTCAACTCGACTCGACTTAGTACATGTATTAGTATGAGATGCAAAAAACCAATGCCATTTATCACTGATGGCAACCCTTAATGTATCGGTATGGTGCAGGAACTCTTAAATCGACAATCTGTTTCAATTTTAAAATGCTACTACTCAACATAAAGGCAAAATTTTCAAAATCTGACCGGTAACTTCGTAGAACTTGTTATAAAGAACAAAGTTATCGGTCAGATTTTGAAAATTTTGCCTCTATGTTGAGTAGTAGCATTTTAAAATTGAAACATATTGTCGATTTAAGAGTTCCTACACCATATAAAAACAGATTGTAATTACTGACGTTTTGGGTAAGCAATTATATCAAATTATTAATCAATAAATCAATTGCAAAACAAAATTGTGTTCATTGCGCTACATGAATTATATAACCAAGACATCTTAACAATGATAAATCAGCAAGTAGTCCAACAGTAGAAGCGTGATCCGTCTCGTTTTGTTGGTCAGATTAATCGCGAAGAACTTCAAGATTGGTCATAAGTCGATTTATTGATTCGAGTGCGATTGCAAGATTATATTCAAGTGAACTAATTTTCGTGAAGTTATCGTTAAGCATTGTTAATGCATGGAATGCACTTTGTCCGAAAGATAATTTTTGTGCTTCGGTGGCGTAGTTGGCATCACGCGCCGAAAGCTCTGAAGTTAACTTGGTATCGAATACACGCCAACAGAGACCAAGCTAAGCAATACGTCCGAAGAATTAATTAAGGACTTCTACGAAAGAAAACAAGATCAACATAGATGCACAAATGATCCCACGAGGCTTCAAAGGACAGGCAAACCATCATACTTTAATTTTCGTTGAGTGTTTTAGCTATGCCTGTCCTGTCTACAACAAAGTTCAGTTGAATTTTGATTTTTAAAAAATTTCGTTTTTTACTTTCAAGTTTTATGATCGACCGAGTGAGAATGAGGAACAACTATCCACAAATGCCGTTCTTATATATCATTTTGAAGTTTCTGTGCCATACTTTTTCACCAAAAAACAAGAACTTACTAAAAGAGAAAGTCAGGATACTGATGTGTTAAAACTCGCTGGAAGGAAAATCTTGAAAGAATTACGTTAGAAAAAGACTTGTGACAAATGAATATTAATTATATCAATTATTCTAACCATAATCGCTAATTTAATGATAAGAGCACTCTAACGATAGGAATTACGCGTAATTCGGGCAGTTATTGTTATAGTTCGGATGATTTTATTTTTACTAATTTAGAAACATGCTGTTTTCACGTCATATGATATTAGTATGAGGCAAAAATGGTAGGGAAATTTGCGGGATGGGCAAAGCCCAGAGTCTAAAGACTCATGAAATCCGAGTGTTGTATTACGTGAATAGCACCATTTTTCTCTTGTATAGCAAGGCCACTTCCGTGACTAATCTATTCACAAACAATGATAAAGTAATTTTTTTAGAACTCTCCAGTGCCGTTAAGCATTTATAATTAGTTTGATTTGCCTAAAATTCGAATGAATTATTACTTCATAATTACTATAGAATGCCAGAAATATTGGACACATTCACATCTGAATCGTTCTTCTTGTAGTTTATAAATGACTTCGGCAACTTTCAGCAACCAACACTATGGATTGAGAAGATAAGAGCATGGCAGAACAAACATTAGTCAAAAGAAGGTACATTACCCTGAGATCCCACAAGACAATAACAAAATCAAAGATATATTTTCGCTCTTCCTCAAAACAGATAGGAACGGTTGCCTTATGTGTCCGTTCGTATTGTAGAACTCCACAAGACGGAACAGACATCCTCCATGATTCAATCCGATTCTCTATGAAATGCAAAGGTTAGAGTAACAAATTACAGAAGCAAACTTTAAGAAACACTCTGTTAAACACCTAACATAAGTGTGCAGAGAAAGGGCACTTATTCTTGAGAATGTTCACACGAAACTCCTCGAAATCGCTCTCCGATCTCTTCCAGCATATAAGCATTTCCGATTGACAACTTGCAGCAACCATCCCATGTTGATCTAGGGAGATCTTTATGTCCGTACCCACCGCTCATTTCTAAATGTCCAACCTCGACAGTAGATTTCTTTAACCGTACGAAAAAGACTCCATCTGCTTTTTGTTCAAATGAGTCCCTCACAGCATGATTTAACTGTAGACAGAATTATCTCTCCTCTTGAATAAAAAGTACAAATGCGTAACTATCAATAGAATTTCCACAAATGAAGATCAAGGCTACTCACATATGATAATGCAAGCTTTTTTCCAAACCGAAAAGCACACTTTTCAGGGAAGGATGAATAACATAACCTCCGTAGTCCGATTCCGATACGTCTGATTGCATCACCGAAGACATCCTGGTGACTATAAGAAGGAAAAAAAAATTGGCAAGTCATAACAAATGATACTTACAATATAGATAAAATTTGTGAAAGAGTCTGGAAACATCACGCAGGTTATTTTGAGCTCCTCCAAGAGAAGCTTTCTAATATCTTCTTCTTTGATTATTTCATTAATATTATTCAAAAGCCGAACTTCCTCTATGCCTTGTCCTAAGGATTCAAGTGATTTATATTACAAAAGTGTAATTTAGAATTCTTCAAAATTAAAATGGAGAACTAGCATAAAAAGGAAGACATACTAGTCTTAGAAACTTAGATATGATTTCTAGACGATTAGAAATAGTTGCACGTCTTGTATACTTTTGAATCTCCGAATAATTTTCACTGCTACACCATCCCGGTTTCGCAATTTTAAAACCACACCGAACGATCCTCCAGACTTCGGATCTAAAATTAAATAATTAGCATTAGTTACAAACACTAATTAATAACCATAATCTACCTGAGAGGATGTCCTTTTTTATGAGCAGATTTAGCCAAAAGATCAGCCACAACCGCACCAGATTTTAGTTTCCATTTCTTCCAAGTATCCTCGTCAAAGAGGCGCGCAAATGCTGGTACTGATTCCTCATCTGTTTCTTGAAGAGCCAGCTCAGAATCAATTATTATTCCTTCTTCGTAATTTCT